GTGTGTGTGTCTTAGCTGAGAGGCAGAGCACACTAGAGAGTTCACTCTGTTTATTGACTTTTCCTCATCTTGCCTGCAGTCACTGCTCCTATGCTGCATTCCCTCTTCTCTCTCTCTCTCTCTGGCTCAGCAGGACGGTGTTAGGATGCTAAACAAAGCAGATATGGTTTCATTTTCATAAGAAATGCTCACGGAATAGCAGGGGTTCACCATCTGTGTTATTACTATCTCAAGTTCCGCATGTGTACTGAGTGTATAAAACCCGCCTTGGACAACCTCAACTGCTTTTACAACCAAACCTCTAACCCCAAGGTCCTAGTGAATCACTCAAGCATCAGCAACTATGTTTACATTCACACTAATGGCTCAGTATTAGTCATATGACCATGTAAACAGCTCACCCGATCTAAACTCAGCAGTAGCCGACCTAAGCTAAGCACGATTAAGGCCGATATTGGTCTACTGGACTACTCAAGATAGGTCTAGACATTTAAACGCTTGGATCCCTCCATAGACACTCATATAGAGTTTCTGTGACATTTTACGGCACTTTCTGCAGGACTGCTTGCAAAACATCAAGAGGAATGTGAGTGACAAAAGGCAGTCTTCAGGAAATTAAGAGGCATCCCTTATTTAAACATTTTGTCACAAATAGATAGGATGGGATATTTAGATGGAAATAATAATGATATTTTCATATAAATAGAAACTCACACATATGACACTGTTGGGGTGAGCAATAAAACATCACAATACATTTTTAAGATGCATAATATGTATTGCAATTAGTATTTTTTTCTGATGTTTGATTAATTGGAACAGACAAAAAAGATCAAATAGTGCCACATTTTAAAAATGACTATCAAACACACAAATACACAATCTATGCCTCTTATCTTCCTGGGATGTTGAAGCCTATTCCAGCGGCCATCGGGCAGATGGCAGGAAACACCCTGGACAGGTTGCCAGTCCATCACAGGGCAAACATGAGGAGAACACGCAAACTCCACACAGAAATGAGTTGCCTGGCCGGGGAATTGAACCCAGGCCCTTCTTGCTGTGAGCCGTGCCCCCAACTGTCAAAAACACTATGAAAAAGATTAGGGACTTTTATTTTGAAAAGCAAAAAACTAGGATAAACAGTTTAATTTTAAATGGGTCAAAAGAATTACTATTCAAAGATTACTTTTCTAATCAATTAACTAAAAAATGTAAAGCAACCAGGTAGCTAACATTTTAAAGTTAAAACAACAAACGTTCTTTACAGTGTGTGAATATTTTTTATTCAACACTCCACAACAACATTGTGCTACACTAAATTATTAAACAGGCCTAATTATGCTTTCTTTGTGATGAAATATGAAGTTGGTCAGTGTTTTTAATTCATTTTTATTTGTCCACAATATGCTCAGAAAATCACATTGTGATGTAATTCATCACAACAGCAATAAATATCATCATATTTCTTATACCTATTAGATGTGTCATGTTGTTGCTGAGTTGCACTATGCTGCTATATGTGGTCAGGACTATAATGCTATGTTTACATTATGGCAGTTGGTGGTCCACAGCAAACTGGATATTCCATGATTTCAATGGAGCAGCAACAGAAAATTCCACCACCACCAGTGCAGCGGTCAGCAGAACATTTCATTAAAAGTTCAGTTTTCCAAACTTTTGCCATCAATCAATGATGGTGAACTTACATTATGAACCATCATACCTACTTAGAACACAAGGTACTGGCTCACTATTAGTACTTAAAATTAATAAAGTTATGTAAGGGGTGGAGCCTTTTCATACAAAGCCCCCAGCTTTGGAATAACCTTCCTGACAGTGTTTGGGACTCTCAGTGTCAGTTTTTAAGATCTAGGCTAAAACCCTACTTGTTTAGTCAAGGCTTTGGTAATTAGTTTTTCCTGTTAGACAATGTGCAGATCTGAGAGTTCATTGAAATAGAGTATTACGACAAACTGGGACTGTTGGTGATGTCATCCTCTCATGCACTCACTCACGTTTGTTGAAGGTAAAGCAGAGGGGTGGTTACATCTCAGGGGTTCCTTTGTCTTTGTTACTTTCTGGTTCCCGCTTTTTAGTTAGGCTCTAATAGCTAAACCTGCCTGAGTCACTGTTTGAACTAACTGTTGCTGCTCCTTCATCTGCCTTGATCGGGAGTGCCCCTGCTTGCCCACCGTCTGGACCATTTTGACCACCATGGAGCTTCCTGCTATCCAGGGCCGTGCAGAAAGCCTCACCTTAATGTGACTCAAACTTTTGATGATACTGATGTCTGCAGACTTTTTAATCATAGACATTGTCTATGCTTCACAATACCCTGAGCTCCTCATCATTACAGGCTTCTCACAGTAATCACTGATGTTCATGGATTTAACTCTTGTTTTTTTAACGCTGATGCACTCCTAACAGTAGTCACTGGTTTTCACTGGTAACAGTGACAGTGCTTCATAGATCTCATTATTACTCTGATAGGCCTCCAACTGTAGCCATTCTTATAACTGGTTAATCTAAATACTTCTTTCAAATGACAGAATCTTTTTTTATCTTTTTTTTCTCCATATTCAATATTGTATATTAACTGTAAAATGTTATCCTCTGTTTATACTGTTCTCATTATGTTATTGTTTTGCTGTTCGGAGTCAAGTAGAGGAGGATGGGTTCAAGGCTCAAGGTTTCTTCCTTTTGCTTTTAGGGAGTTTTGTCTTTGCCACTGTCACCACTGGCTTGCTCATTGGAGCTTGGACCCAGATTTTCTGTAAAGCTGTTTTGTGACAAAGCCTGTTGTAAAAAGCGCTGTATAAAAAATACTTGACTTGGTCTTAAAAGCGCATTGTCCAGGTGCAGCCAGTATTATACAACAAAAAATGAAAAAAATACATCATCAACATCATCTGGCTTTTTTGCACCTTAAACTATCCTCTAATAATCATCCATTTTTGCCGGTGACACTTCACCATTTCAACATTTCACCATTGATCTAGTTCCACTATGAGGTCCCACTGCAGCTTAAGGGAACTAACCTTTTATGCAACCCATGAAATTATGTGGTACAGTTTCTTAGACTAAGAACATGGGCTATTGTATGCATGTAAATGAAGATAATAATCGGATTTTTCTTAGAGCTGTGAAAAGACTTACTGCTGTTGAATTAGAGGCAGGCTAACTACCCCTCTGAACTGCATCAGCTTCTTCCTTCCTGTCAGCAATTAAAGAAATTGACCGATGATGAAGCTCACAGCTAATTTATTCATGCCCTGTCTAGCTGTCAAACGCTGTAATCATTCATAAACGTTATTCATGAAAAAAACACTGGCCGCCTCAAAGCACTCAAATTAAATCTCTCTTATTTAGCACCATTCAAATTCAAGCAGCATCCAAGAGAGGAAGCATATGTCCTCTGTCTTTAGAATGGGACACACAAAGTGATTGAAAGGCCTTCATTAGGACCGCCATTGGAGCCCTTGTGCTTGATCCTATGGACTCCTCGCAGTGCCAGTGTTCAGAGGCCTTTAGAGCCTTAGCCGTTCTCCCTTTCGGCCCCTCATGGCTATGGTTGTGGCATTCTCTCTCAGCAGGAGATTACTAACATAGAACTGGAGCTCTGCTGGCTGTTTTGGCAGCTTTTGATCCAGCTGTGGCCTGGAGCTACTCTCATACGCTCAGTTACAGCTGGGAAAGAGCCAGCAAACACCAGCTAGCCCTTCGTTCAATACAGAGTTGGGGTGAACTAGCCAGCTTTATAGAAGGGATGCAAGTAGGGATGGGCTTTGGGGGATTGTAAAGCACTCCAATACTGCAAATCTTTAAGTCTTAGCTCCAGGCGTTCTAATATCGACCGTAAAATGGACCTAAAGACCTCAGCCTCTTTGCTAGCTAAAGAAATATGAAAAGGATAATAAAAGAATCCCATGCCATTTCAATGGGCTATATTCTACACTTTTCTAGAAATTACATTTTCCTACTTAAGTCTATTTATAGTGTTTGTGTAGTTATTTTATTTACCAAATTTATGTACCAAAAACATGCCAAATTTCCAACCTCTCTTTATCCCTTAGAGTCAAACAAATTATTTGCAGGTTGTTATTGCTCCTTTAAGACTGATTTAGGTAAATAACCTATGTTCTGATAGTTTGGCCTATATCGTGCCTCATTCAAAAAGCTGTTCAGACTAAAATGTATGGAATAAACAAAATGTCAGGAAAAATAAAAACCAAACCACTCCTTTTGGATGTCTAGATACTTTGGAAAGCTGCAATGACACATTAAGCAGCACAGTGTTCAAGTTTCTCCAAATCTCCAACAACTCTGCTACAGACTGACTGCAGTAAGAACACCCCTTATCACTTCATGGTGGACACTGCAAAAAAATGTTATTTCAGCAAGTGCCAACACCATAACTATAATACTACTATCCATCTTATTTATAGATGGTTTTTACTTGAAATTGTGACTTAAAAAGACCTACTCTCAAAAAGATATTCATGATATGGACTACATTTAAGATGATTTCACTCGCCAAGATATCATTATTTATTATACTTTTACAGTGAATGGTCAGGCTGAACTCTAAGTACTGCTAAAATTTCAAAATGTATCATTCATATCCCAGCCCATACACTCCATACAACAGTTAAGGTCTGTATAGTCAAGCTGTAGTTATGAGGAGTGTTTCAGCCTAGACTGCACAATACAGGACAGCCAATCAGAGCAGAGGATATTTACAAGGATCACATTTAAAAGCACAGTACAGTTTCATTCTAAGGGATAAAGAGAGGTTGGAAAATGGTCATGCAAAAATTAATTACAGTTGTTTTGGTGCATTAAAGCACACAAACATATGTAGAATATGAGCCCTTAAAGAAAAGAGGACAATGTAGGTTTTCCACAAAACAGGTCTTTAAATGCCAAAACAACGTCAAGCCATTCTCAGCCAAACACAAATGCTGCTCTTCAGAATTTCAAACACATGCTTGCTTACTCACAGTAATAAAGAAATTTCCTCTTTGACGGGCTTGTATTGTGTAGTAGTGACAGTGCCCTAAGGAGCAGAGACACAATGATATGGATTAGTGGATCTCAGTTGAGTGCGCGGGATTAAAATGACTTCAGCAGTGGTCCAAAATGTGTGTAAATTCCTGTTTTGATGTGGGATGCTGTTGGGACAGTGCTTAGAGGAGGATCTCAGTGAATTGAGACATAGTGTACTGTCTGAGGACATTTTGTTGCTTCTTGTTTGTTTGTGTTTTCCGGAGGATAAAAAAGCTTAGTGTGATCATGTATGAATAACAAAAACAATGCTTCATGAAAAATGAAGACTGAGGGTGGTATTTACTGCTTTCAGGAAGATCTCATTTGTACCTCTCATTCAAGATATTTTCACAGTTTTACACAAATTCAGAAGTTGGTATGCAGCACTAAAGACAAATAAGTGTTGATAGTCTTGAAACTAGTGAGTTAATTATGACTGTGTATCTAAGTGAGAGATAAGGGGAAAAGAGCCTGTGACTGTGCGATCATTAGTTGTGTTAGCATGAAGTGAGGCTTGTAGAAGCTACTGCATCTTAAGCCCCAAGCTGAGGTCACCATATTACCACTAAAGCCTCTGCTTGCTACTGCTGGGAGTATAGCTTATTGGACACAGTGGATAGCAGTAAACAAAGCAAGGAATAGTGGCCAATATTGCAGACATTCAGTCTACCAGAATATTGAACTGGGAAGTGGAAGTGGAGGGCTGTGTAAACACACATGGATAGCTAGGGATGGGCAATATGACTATATGTTGTTGTTGCTGTGAAAAATTCCATCACAATCAGTGGTGGGAGTAACACAGTACAAAATAACATGTTACAGCAATGTGATTACATTGTTTTGTAACAGTTTACAATCTTGTAATCACAGTTACTGATCTAATAAAATGATGTTATTTCATTATTCGTATGTCTCTAAAAAACAATGTTAATAATAATGACTATTTTAATTATATAAATGTTGTTATAATTATTAACAATTGCATTATAAATGTTAATTCTAACACAATACTAATGAATTAAAGAATACATTTCCTCTATATAGATTATTTGTGTCTGCACTTGTATGCAGTCTGCTCTCTTGTGCAGTACCTGTGACAGCTGATTGCATGACTTTGTGAATGTGAGCAGCACAGCACTAGTGCACAAACCTCACCAAACAATCTGTCAAAGTATCTGATCATGCTAATATGAAACTGATGGATGAAGATCACCCAACCTCACCTAGATACCAGACTTGATTTTCATTCAGAAACAGCTCTGTAAGTTTTACATTTTACTTGTAGAGATTTTATTTCAAGCAGCTGTTTTTGAACTGTTTAATTTAAAAGACATCAAAGTGTAATGACTTTTGTCCATCTTTAAAACGTCCTTTGATTTTTGGTTTTATCATTGTGCACCAGCGGGTGTGGAAAATGATAATTTACTAATAATATCATGTTTCTCCTCCCACTATCACCACCCCCACACATCACTGAGAGAAAAACTCAGCCAGCTCAAAGATCCTCCCTGATCCTGTGTTTCACTTTGAAATACTTCACTTTACATATCGCTGTTGTTGGAACAAAACCTTGTATCTCCAAAATGATAACTTTACAGGAGAAGGAAAAAACCTACTTTACTTTGAATGTATGTCAATGGAGTCAGACTTTTTTCTATGCTATTTTGGGATGATTGTTTTGGTCCATTCATCATGAAATTTACAAACAATGTTAAGGGCAGCAGGCATTTCCAAATTATTTTAAAAACTGAAAAACACCAAAAATGGAGATATAAGGTTTTGTTTCAACAGTAGCGATATATAAAATGAATTTCTGATGCTAATTGACTCTTAAACTCCTACAGATACATGTATTACAAAAAACTTGATAAAGCTGAATCCACCCATGAACAATGTGCAGGAAAATGTTTTAAAACATCTATTTTTGGGGAACAATCAGCACAAGCTGCCGGAATTATCCCTCCAGTCAGCAGTGTGGAGTCTGACAGACAGGATGGGTGCAGTCAGACCACACCAGCATCCTACAGATTCTTATCAGAGAGAGAGAGAGAGAGAGAGAGAGAGAGAGAGAGAGAGAGAAAGAGAGAGAAAGATAGCATCTCTATCAGACTCATCTCTTCAAGCTTTAAATAATTCACAAGGCAATTTCATAGACAGCTTTGAATTGATCACTGTTTGAAAACCAGCATTAAAATCACCACTAGCAAAGCATGTGATCAACTCTCTAACATTCAGAATGGAGCAAAATGACAACTCACGTGTGAAAATCGTCCAACTCCCTCTATCATGTCAGGAGACAATAAACAACACCTGGCTGCACAATCGAGGACAGAGCAAGGTGTCCTCAACAGAGTTATCAAAGCTTTAGAAGATAAGAAATCAAGGAAAAAAAGAGGCAGAATGTGGATGTGGATGCTGTTCAGCAGTCAGTCAAGGACAGACAGACTCTACCCTTGAAGGAATCGGTCAGGCATGAAAAAAGATCCTCCCTATCAAGACTTACACGAACACTCCCTCCTGTTCACCAACCCTTTATCTTCCATATGTCTGTGTGTCTTTGATAAGTCTCTGTCAGTCAGACACACCCACATATTCAACATGTTTCTGGTAAACACTTTCCTATCCTAATTCAGAATGAGTGCTCTTTAATGCTCTTAGTGGTTACAATGGGAAAATAATGGAATGATTGAAGATAAAAATGCATCTTAAGGTAGTCATTCAACTGCATGTATGTTGGAATGTTGGAATTAATCACAACCAATTGTAATACTATTCTTTTAAATATGTGCTAATGCTTTGACCAAAATAATATATGGTGCTATTTTAAAATCTAAAAATAAAAACAAACTAAAAACGTTTACTGTCTTCATACCACTACAATGTAATGAGTTCGAAGTTGTGAAGTTACTTCACTTAGTTACAACACTTAATACATAGTACATACGAAGAATTGTCCCAAGAATGTTGGGAAAGAGAACCGGCAGAGCACTAGAGAGGATAAATAAATAGATTAATTAAAAAGATTATTAAGCATTAATAAACTGTTAGTCTACGGTAGAGTACATGTTCTACTGTCTCTGCTGCTTTTCTAGAGTAAGCATAAAGTCCGAGGAGAGTAACTGTAGTGTGAAAATATAATACTTCATAGTTTTCCACAGGCATATATAATATCAGAGTGATTCAGCGTGGATATGCATAAGTGTGGATAGTTAGCATAAAAAAGTAACAATCGCAAAAATGGACATTGGACAGCGCCTAGGGTTAGACATCTGTAATTACCTTGCAAATATTGCATCATCCTACATATTGCAGGAGAAAGCTTACAAATTACTAGAATCAATTAATTATTTGGTCTGTGGAGGGGTGACTGATCTGTCTTTACCATCAACTCACCATTGTGATGGCAAAGGTGATTAATAACTGCCTATCTATGTTTGATGGGGTTAATCAGCGTTTGCTTGACATTAGCTTAAGTCATGTGAACCCGCTAACGTTCTGGACTTAACGCATTCATTGTTTAGCTGAAGCCTAAAAGATCTAGAAATAAAAAGACTGCAAAAGTAGATCATCAATGTCAACTGTTAATAGTGAACAATTCTCAACACCTGAAAATGTTTACCAGCAAAACTACAGAATTCATCCTTCACCTATACGATGAGCCCTGCTAGATAAACCAGCATAGACCAGCATGCCTAGTCACCAGCAGAAGCAGCATATAAAGTGTTTTGTGTGATTTTCAGCAGCAATGGAAGTTGTTAGGCTGGTTACTAGCAAAATCAGCACATGTTGTGTTTTGGATGCTGATATGCTAGTCAACCAGCAAGACCATGCTAGGTGACTAGCTAAAACAGCATCAGACCAGTACTAGACTAGCATGGAAAAGGGAGATGACTATATGTTTTTCCTCTTTATTCTTACTATCCAAAGATTTCTCCTTCCTCAGCTCTTCAGCCTCTTTCCCATCACAAAGTCAGAAGGCCAGGATGCTGTAAAAGCTACGCCATTTTGTTTTTTGAACTGTTGTTACTACAACCAACACACCTTGGATATATTTTATCTATCAGGATGCTTTATTAATTAACAGTGTACAGTGTTATATTATTAATGATTTTCATTAAAAAATCAATTTGATGATAAAAAAGCATGTAAACTAAAAACAGAGTAGACAGTAGCTGCTGTTGACCATGTATATGTTTGTGGGACTGGGGGTGGCTGAAAGTGGAGCTCAAAGTTGGGGGAGATGTTGAGCTTGTCTACGCTCAATAACATGACTGTTGTTAGCCCACCAATGAAACGTAAATTAGCACTGCTGAAAATTTACCCCAAAAACCTTGCATTAAGCATGTAGATGTGTGTTGTGTGTGTAGAAAACATTCAGAAAAATAAACATTAGCCCCATGAGGAAAAAACAGCTTGATAGCTAATGATTTTAATGATAGCAAATTGACTATTGCTAGCTAGCTTGTTTTGCTTGTGTTACAGTTGTACTCCAGACATGAAAAGAGTACAGACTAAAAGAATAGAGGTGGGCACCTTTGTTATTGGTCCATTTCACCACAGTCCAGCTCCATAAATTGAGCAAGTTTCCCCAAATGTATATTCTTGTTTCAAGATCAGGGGTAGGGTGTATGTTGTACCACATTTCTACCTAACAAACAAGAAAAACAGCCATTAATATGGAAGAGAAATCTCCAGCTAATTGTATTTGTTCTGAAGCGTTCTGCTCACCCTCTTAGTGCCTCTAACTCGTTGATCATATTGATTGAGAGAGACGGCACCTCAGAGAGCTGGGACTGTGTGTGTGCCTTTGTTGTTTTGGTAGAGTGTCCTGCTTTAAGTCATTAGTGGTCAGTGTGTCTGTGATGAGCTGGGTAACAGATGGAGTAATGGGGATTATAGTGTGTGTGTGTGTGTGTGTGTGTTTGCATGTGTTTGTGTGTGTGTGAGGGGTGAGGGGTAGTGGATGAAGGGATGGAACACCCACAGTGATGTAGTGGAAGTAAGAGTCAG